GTGCTCAAAACAATGCTCAAATTTTAGCTCTTAATCTCTTACATAACCCTAGAAAACGTCATGTTCCTATTTATATCAAATAGGAATCCAAAACAGGACAGGAAAACAAATCTGGGCCCAAACTGCATCGCGGTCAACCGGACATGATGTTTCGGTCGACCGGTCAGGAAGTCGACATTCCACCCTATAACTCAGCACACCTTCGGTCGACTGCACGGACATGGTCGGTTGACCGGCCAGACGCAAGAATCCAAACCTTGTAATCATGCACCTTTTCGGTTGTCCGGACATGTATGTTCGGTCGACCGGACAGCGACAGGGTTTCTCACCCTGTAATTTCACAGTCTGTTGGTCGACCGACCTATGCACTTCGGTCGACCGACCCGTGACTAGTCTCGTGCACTCCAAATTTCCTGATTTTCTTCGTCGTTTCTACATCATCCTCGCCGGAGAATGTTATGAAGAGGCCTATTTGTCAATTTTTTACTCATTAACTGGAGTTTCAAGGGTATCTTTTCTTAGATTGAATGGAAGAGAGGTAAGATTGAGGGGAGGTGAGCTTAAGATTTGGGGTGGATTTTTGTGGGGGGAGAGGGGGGTTTCCGGATTGGAGGGAGGGAAAAGGATTGAGGGGGAGATGAGGTTAGGGTTTGGGGATTGGGATTGAGTTTGGGATTAGGCTAAGGTTTGGAGATTTGGGTTAATTAGGAGATTCATGGTTGTTTTTTGTGAGAGAGAGAAAGAGACTTGAGGGATTAAGTCCAAAAATATGAAAGTTTTGGAAGACCAATATTGAAAAAATCCCTAAGGCCCCGTTTGGCAAAGGGTTAATGAAGAGGGGTTAAAGAGAAGGATTAATGTACTTAGCCCATTTGATAATCCGAAGGACTAAATTATTAACCCGTTAAATAAGTTTTATTTTAGCCCTTATGACCAGTTTTAGTGTTTGGGAATAACAATGATTTTGACTATTTTCTTTACAATTAGAAGGGTTAACTCTTATTCCATCTAAATAGGAGTATTAGTAAACCCCTCATTTTGAGGGGTTAACTCATTTTAACCCCCCTAGAGAGGTTAACTTAACCCTTCTATATTTTTTATGTTTGGCAAATTATGGAGGGTTAACTCACTTTAACCCTTATATAAATTTGTTGTGTTTGGCAGGTTAAGAAGGGGTTAAGTCTCCTTAACCCCTCACTTAACCCTTTGCCAAACGGTACCTAAGTTTATACTTAATTAGGACACACGCGAAAGCACGTACCTTATTTAGGAGTAAAATGGTTAATTCACCTATTTTTTTAGGCTAACAATTCACATAGGTATGCCTTTGCAAAGATTTGTAAGTAAAGATGGTATTGATCTTTTTTTTTTTGTAAAATATGATAAGTATAAATTTTGATAAAATAAAAAATAGTTTTAATTTATATAAGAACCCCATTATCTTAACACAAATGGTATCCCTGAACATAATATTTTACATGTTCCTGACAATATCAGAAATCTTGCAAGTCGAGCTAAAGTGTGATGATCTATACAATAGTGACGAGCTTTTCCCTTAAGGGCATGTTTGTTTCACCAAGTTTATGGAATAGGAATGGTATTTGGAGCTGACAATGACGTTTTCGTAATTAATGGAATCCAACTGAATCCTAATCCTGAGTTTGGTTCAAAAAAAATTTATAGAATTGCTATTCTATAAAGTGGCTCAAACAGTGGTAATTTCAAGAAACCCAAATCCAACATTTTTGAGAGGAATTGGGCATGATTTCTGACACCTCTCCCAATTCTTATTCCAATTCTTATTCCGATTTCTGACACCTCTCCCAATTCTTTCTGAACCAAACATGATATTAGGAATTGGACCAATTCTATAAAAGTGAGATTCCTAATCCTTTGGGCGAAACAAACATAGAATGCAAAAAAATGGGATTCCATAAAACTAAAACTTATCTATAAATTTTATATGGATTGGGTTGGAATTCATAAATAAAATAGGATTCCTAATCCTATTCCTAGCCTCTATTGAACCAAACAGGCCCTAAAAGTCAGTATACCTGTAAAATATATTTAATAAAATATTTCTAAAATAAAAGGATTTTAGGAAGTACTCCCATGTGCAGATGGAAGTGGCAACTGAAGCAACCTTCCAAAACTAAATGCATCACCGCCACATTAAAAAAATTGAAAATACCACCCACGGATTGGCTCTTTTAAGAATAAACAAAAAATAAAACAACACAACTCATCAGTTTACAACTTTACATACATTAAAGACGACAGTTTGTATTATTGATGACTCATTGTAATTTTAAATATCGGATAGGCCAACCTATCCAATAATTATTGGCCCAATTATAGTGAAGACAAATAAAGCAATTTTTTCCCTTCTCTGAGTTCTCTCTCTCTTTTTTTTTTTTTTTTTTTTTTTCTGATAGACAATAAACAAAAAACTGATTAGACTGATTAGACAAAGAATTAAAAGATGGTAATATCATTGAAATTCTTTTTTTTTTCGAAATTGGTATAGTAACAGCTTGAGGAACTGCGTGCCATTTGCTTTCTTTTAGAGGGTCCCAAGGAGTTAAATAAGGACAAATCATGATAAAATATTGTTGAGGGTGAGTATCTTGAAGTACTTATCTCAAACGCAGAAGAGGACATTAGGAGTAGACAAGAGGAAGTAGATGTGTTTTGCGGTTCGTTGGTTATGAACCCACTTGGAGATAGAGAATATTGCACAGCGGCAAAAGTACTTATACTAAAGATACATTCGTGATAAGTACAAGAATCTTTCTATTATATTCATTGTTAAACATCCGAGAATGCAAACAATTGTATGTTCCATATTATTATTAAAGTCATTGCCATTGCATAAAAACACTCTAAAGTTTTGATGAAGATTGACGATTATACTTTCATATTCTAATATGTCCTCGCGGGTTGATTATCCCTTTTTGGAGCCAAAAGTTAGACTGATGCAGTGGTATGAATTCTGTAAAATCAGCTTTAAAGTCGTGTTCAATGAGAATTGAATTTGAGTTGCTCTGATACCACCTTAAAGTCCGAACTCAAACTCTAAAATTTACATACGGTGAAGAAGATTGATGATTATATTTTATATCCTAATAATTATAAGTATTAAGTATATTTACCGGTGATATTAATGTATAATATGATAATCTTTGAATATCATAGGCATCTAAAAAATACAAGTATTATTAGACTAGTTCATTTTTCAAGAAAAAAAATTTCCGTGCTCATTAGAGTTTTGTATCAGAAGCAAACCAAACTCCTTTCTTGTAAGAGAAACAAACCAGACATTTCGATTTAATGTCTCATTGTCAAGTTTGATTTTTTAACAATTAAACAAACAAAGTTGAAGAAGTTTCTGGCTCCTAGACCTCATAAATGATATGAGTTATCTAAATTAATTATATAAAAATATTTTTAATTGTGGAGCCCGCTGAGATGAACCAATAGCACCTACGAAAACAAATTAATACAAAATCTGCTTCCTTTTGTATTATATGTGAATTGTGCGCTGAGAAAGATTGATCGCAAACTAGTTGATTGTGCGCTGAAAGTTTTCTTGAGAGGATTAAGCCCCTCCTACTAATTTAATGTTAAGGGGTCAAACTTAGCTCTCGTTCGGCGTAGGAGTCCCCTTAACAAATTTTGCCTGTTCAGCTTAAAGCCCACGTGAACAATAGACATAAGCGGATCGTGTTCCGGGTATCGGTGGCCCATAAATTATCATGGGTTGTTAGGCTCATATATACAAAAAGCCCGAGAAAGCCTCGTCCTTTTCACTTTGCCTTTTGGGCCAAATCTTAAATGCAAAGATATTCAAAGGTAACCAATCTAAAATGTTTCATGCAACTCCAATCCTCTTACATTTTAACCGCGCAGGGGGCGGAGACCAAATTTTCCTACCATAATTCAAGACTCAAATCTAAAAATTTCCTACCATATTTCAAGACTCAAATCTAACAATTCAGATAGAGTAGTGTTAGGGGCACACCATTAAACCACACTATCAACCACACCCCTCTCTATCTATAGTGTCTTTATGATTTTTTTAGTAAAACATGTGGGGCCCAGCAAACACAATAGATAGAGAGGGGTATGGTTGATAGTGTGATTTAAGGGTGTGCCTCTAGTGTTTCTAATTCAGATATCAGCTAGACATTCTGCATCTTTCTTTTTCCCACGTCATTTTAGAGTTTGGATCCAATTTTAAACTTAGACGTCTCCTACCCAACTGAGCTATGCGGTTTGTTATGCACTTTTTTTTTTATTAATTGGGGTTTCGCGATGAATCTTTTTCGCATCGAATATTCCTTTGAGGAGGCCGAATTTAGTGGGGGTTATACTGTCTAGTCCAAGAGATAAATTGAGAATAAAAGAGAATTTAGTTTTCTTTACTATCAGTAAATTGAAGTCGAATATTTCGAAGTGAAAGGGGAAAAAAAATCCAAGCAGGCCACTCATTTTTGGATCGTGAATCGCTCCTAACTATTGGCATCCATCAATTGACACGATAATGGATTCGGCTAATGTGGCGTAAAAAGTCTTGATTATTGGACATAACGGAGTTCTTGCTACGCGTAACATCTTGATCATTAATGAAAGTAATAATTCGTGGCAATATTGGACAATTGTGTTGGGTAATTATATACATTTTTTAATTTGTTGAACATATTATCTTGTGACATATTAATTAAGCTTTATTGCTTAAAATAAATAAGAATATAGAACTTCAAATTGAACGGAAAGTGTTAGAAGTGACTAGCAATCCAATTAGAATTTAGTTATGATCGGCTATTCTAGCAATTAAAACATATATATATATATGGACGTCTAATATTTAAGAAATTAATTAATAATACATTGACTAGCAATCCAAGTCAACCCATATATGAAGCATGTAAAATTGGAAAAGGAAAATTTTGTTATGGCCTCATCAAAAGACGTAACAATATTAACTGAGCACATCACATAACTGCTTGGTAATTAAACTGCCAGAAAAGAGCAACTTCTTATCTTAAACCTAGTACAAAGCCAAACTCAAACTAGTAACCAACATCAAGCTCACCTAGACCGAGACCACATTGAGCCCAATCGGACTCCTCACTCTATGAGTCCCATCACTCCAAGTTACGGACCCAAACACAAACCTCCCACTACTAGGCTCATAAGGCACCAGATCAATCCTGTAACTCTTCTTCTCTCCAAATTTGCTGAACACTAGCTCTTCAGGCACAACGCTCACCCAAACCCCCGCCGGATTCTCAACCGCCGCTCGATAAGTCCAGTCGCCGTCGTGCGCGTTCGTGACCGTCCGATACACCGACATTTTCCCGGTGACCTTGGAAACTCCAATTGAAGGGTAGTTGAAGTTGTACGAGGGGATGAGGGGAGCACTGCATTTGGTGGAGTACCCAGTGAGGTTCTTGAGTCCAGCTGAGGTGGCTCCGTTGCTACAGAGGAAGTTGATGATGTCTTTGGGCCTGAAGTCGTAGACTAAGCCTGGGTTTATTGCTGCCACCGGGTTTAAGTGGCCTGATCCGTAGTCGAAAGGAGTGGCTTGTGACCCGTTTGGGTAGCGGAGAATTGGGCCGTGAGTGTTGTCTTCAACAGTTGCTGTGGAAAATTAAAAGCAGTCACTAAACGTGCTTAGATCCAATTAGGAACTTATTAATGCAGAATAAACTTATTCTGACAGATGGGCCTCCGGCCTGGTGAATTTTTTTTGACTCTTTTACCCTGAGCAAAATATTGATTAATATTAGTACACTGGGTAAAATTAGTGAGTCCAACTGAGGGCAAAAGAGTCAAAATATACTATCGAGTTCTAAAGCGTGGTAGTGTGAACCTGTGGTCATCAATGCAGACATAACTTCGGCGGGGCTCGGGGGCACGATATGAGCGTGCGGAGATGATGTTAGTTAGTGAGGGCCCTTCGCCCATTCGGACCTCGGAGGGACACGCAAGCCAATATGTTCACTCCTGGTGCCGTGATATCCGGCTACGGTTGACGACCATACAAAATTAATTAACGGGTATTTGGTATTTATTTTTTGTTTAAGTGTAGTACCTTAATTATGTCGGGTAGAATAAGGTTAGGCCCTTGTGAGGAAAAGAATGCCATTTGAGGTGCTGGGGTGGTGTCGAGAACGGTAAAAGTTTTCGAGATCGTCGCGGTCGGATATCTGTAGTCAGTATACAGTAGATTCAGTGAGTTTTCAGGAGGATCAATTGCAAAATATATTCATCTTAAATATAGAGGGCTGTATAATCTCCAAACTTTATCGCGCAATGAAATATCAGAGATCGCTCAGCAGCACATTGATGTGATATGAACCTGACATAATTACGAGTAGAGATAACGGGGAAATAATAAACTTTGTTTCGACGTCAAATTAGTGACTAACTTAGCGAGATTTATGTATGATTAACCCTTTTTTCTTGAAACAGATGATTGCAGTCCTAGAGCTCTTGAACCTAAAATGACATGAAGTAGGTACACATGCACCTTTCTGAGCTGAGATACTCATCGAGGACCTGAGCTTCAGCCTGGCCGATCAACGAGTTTGGAAATGGAAGTAAGAAGGCGAGATCTACGAGCTGAGGAGCCACGACGATCATCGCCACACCGCCAGCTTTCTGCACTGCTTCAACCTTGGCTCTCCGATCGTCTCTCTGTTGGGACAAACCCGGGGCCCAATAGAGCAGGATCGCAGCAATAGAAAAGTAAAAGTAGAGATAAAATGTTGGACACACAGATTTACGTGGTTCGGCTCTTGATTGCCTACGTCCACGGGCAAGGATAGAAGAATTCACTATGAGGAGAAAACTCTGGAGTTACAATCTCTCTTTCTAAGGAGATACTCTCTCTATTTTTTCTCTCACACACTTCTATATAAGAAGAAGTTTCTGGGATGAGATTTCCTTAAGGATTTGGAGCCCTATTTATAGTTTTTTGAAAAACACTATGCACAATAAAATATTAATATTTTACTGTAGCAGTGGGGCCCGCTCTTTTGTTTTCTTTCTCCTTTTCAACATTGGCTGTGCACTTTCGGTGGGTTTTGGAGTTGATAGGCGCCTGACAATCTCCCACTTGAAGATTTGATTGAGTATCAATCATATCTTCACATCATTCTTTCTATCTTGCCATCTTCATGTTGCTTACATCTCAGACAGACCACAAGAGGATCGACACCAAATAAATTTGTCAGTATTGACTGCTTTGGTCAAAAAATCTGCTAGGTTGTCCTTGGTGTGAATTTTCTGCATATCTACTGTTCCTTCTTCCACTTTCTCACGAACGAAGTGATACTGAACTCGAATGTGCTTGGTCTTTGAATGAAAGACTGGATTTCTTGCCAAATGCAAAGCACTCTGACTGTCACAAAATAGAGAAATCTTCTTTTGTTCATAGCCGAGTTCCTCCAGCACCATCTTCAACCACATCGCTTCTTTACTAGCTTGTGTAGCTGCTACATACTCTGCTTCTGTTGTTGATTTAGCCACAACTGACTGCAGTTTTAAAACCCAGCTTACAGCTCCGCCAGCAAGTGCAAACACATAACCTGTGGTGGATTTGCTATTATCACGATCACCTGCATAATCAGAATCAACATATCCACTGACAATAAAATCAGATCCCCCATAACATAATGCAACATTTCCCCATAACATAATGCAAAATTTCAGGTTTCCTTAATGTATTTTAGGATCCTCTTTACAGCATTCCAATGCTCTTTACCAGGATTCGCCATGTATCGACTAACCACTCCCACTGCTTGTGCAATGTCTGGTCTTGTACAAATCATCGCGAACATTAAGCTTCCCACTGCTGATGCATACGGTACTCGAGACATCTCCATCCTCTCTTCTTCACTGCTAGGACTCATACTGGAGGATAACTTGAAATTAACAGGAAGTGGGGTAGAAATTGACTTACAATCTTGCATGTTAAAGCGTCGCAAGATTTTCTTCAAATAGTTCTTCTGAGAAAGCCAAATCTTCCTATTAATTCTGTCTCGGTAAATTTGCATCCCTAGAATCTTGTTTGCAGATCCTAAATCCTTCATTTCAAATTCCCTAGCCAACTGAGCCTTTAATTCTTGGATACGATCTTTGTTGGGGCCTGCAACCAACATGTCGTCAACATACAACAATAAGATAACAAAGTTATTTTCACCAAACCTCTTGAAATATGCACAAGGGTCTGAATTAAGTCTGTTGTATCCAAGGCTCATGATGAATGAATCAAATCTCTTATACCAACACCTCGGCGCCTGCTTTAGACCGTACAGAGATTTGTTCAATCTGCAAACCAAGTTCTCTTTTCCTTTTTCTTCAAAACCTTCTGGTTGGAGCATGTAAATTTCTTCTTCAAGATCTCCATGAAGAAATGCTGTTTTCACATCTAGCTGCTCTAGATGTAAGTCAAATATAGCGCTCATAGCCAGGACTATTCGGACTGTTGTTAGTCGCACTACAGGAGAAAATATTTCATTAAAATCAATACCTTCTTTCTGAGCATATCCTTTTACCACCAATCTAGCACGATACCGCTCCACTTGATCATCGCCATTTCGCTTGATCTTGTAGACCCATTTGTTTCCAATGGTCTTTCTTCCTTGTGGCAGTGACACAAGTTCCCAAGTCTTGTTCTTATGGAGAGCTTCAATTTCTTCCTGCATTGCTGCCATCCACAAAGATGCATCTGTGCCATTTATAGCTTCATGAAAAGTTGATGGCTCTCCATCTTCTGTTAGAAGACAGTATGCAACATTACTCTCCGTAATATACTCCGAGTGCCAAGTCGGTGGTCTTCTCTCACGAGTTGACCTTCGAACTTCTGGAGCCTCGGCCTCGACTGGTTCTTGTACATCATGCTCCGGTGTCGCTTCAGAAGAATTCAGATTATCTTCTACCTGAACAGCTACAGTCTCTGAGTCCTTCCTCGAACTGCTTTCTTTCTCTTCACTTTGTAGTTGGTTCTCTACAAAGATAACATCTCTGCTGATGATAACCTTGCGGGCAGTGGGATCCCACAGGCGATACCCCTTTACTCCATCAGCATACCCCAAGAATATGCATTTTCTGGATTTTGAATCCAGCTTTGTAATTTCTTGGGCATTGTACATTACGTACACTGGACTTCCAAATATATGGAGGTTGGAATAGTCAGCTGGTTTGCCAGTCCACATCTCCATCGGTGTCTTCAATTGTATTGTAGTTGATGGAGATCGATTCACCACATAACAAGCGATTTTTACTGCTTCCGCCCAAAAGACTTTTTCCAGATTTGCAGTAGCCAACATAGCTCTTGTTCTTTCCAACAGAGTTCTGTTCATCCGCTCCGCCACTCCATTTTGTTGAGGAGTATAAGCCGTACTGAATTGTCTTTTGATGCCTTCATGCTTGCAGAATGCTAGGAATTCACCGTCTGTGTATTCTCCTCCATTATCTGACCTCAAACACTTGATCTTCTTCTCAGATTCAAGCTCGACCCGCGCTTTGTAGGCTTTAAAGACTGAGAACACATCCGCCTTCTTCTTGATAGGATACACCCAACATCTCCTGGAGTAATCATCAATAAAGGACACAAAGTACTTTGCTCCTCCTAAGGATGTAACTGGTGCTTGCCATACATCAGAATGAACCAGTTCCAGAATAGCCTTGCTTCTAGAACTCGATGTGTTGAACTTCAGTCGATGCTGCTTGCTTGTAACACAATGCTCGCAAAATGGAAGAGCTACCGAATTAAGTCCAGGAAGCAGTTTCTGATCGGAGAGAACCTTCAAGCCTCGTTCTGACATGTGGCCTAGCTTGCGATGCCACATCATGGTTTGTTCTTCTCCACGGCTGGTTGATGCCACACATGAATCAGCTTCCTGCAGAGTCTCTCCCTTGAGCATGTACAGATTTGCAGCTATCTTTTCTCCTTTTATCACCACAAGCGCCCCTCTAACAATCTTCATGACTCCATTTTCTATATGAGTCTTGCACCCGAGCTCATCTAATTGTCCCAAAGACAATAGATTCTTCTTCAAGCCCTTCACATGTCGCACATCTTGAATGGTGCGTATTATACCATCAAACATTTTGATTTTGATAGTACCAATACCACAAATCTCCAAGGCATGATCATTCCCCATGAATACAGATCCTCCTGAGATAGGTTCATATTTGTGAAACCAATCTCTCCGAGAGGTCATGTGCCAAGAGGCTGCTGAATCTAGAAGCCAGACATCAGCAAACTTCTTTCTGCCTTCATCAACAGTGGTTGCTCCACTGAATAGAATTTCACCATCCTCTGACGTGCTGACAACGCATCCTTGAGATGTTGATGGCTCTGAAGACTTTTTATCTCCACTCTTCTTGTTGTGCCAACACTCCGATTTGACGTGCCCTCTTTTGCCACAGTTGTAGCATTTGATATTCTTCTTACTTCGTGATTTCGATCTACCATGGGCATGACTCCCACTGGAGCCACGTTCCGTTGATCTTCCTCTCGTCACCGACAAGGCCTCCGCTTGCTGCGAACTTGTCTGCCTGTCTTCCTTGTTCTTGCGCCGATTTTCTTCCTCCAGAACAGCGGCTGCAACATCGTCGAAGACTAGATTGTCCGTGAGGACGTTGTTCGTCAGGTTGATGATGAGTTGATCATACGAGTCAGGTAGACTCTGAATCGCTTTGTTAGAATATCCCAGATCTCCTTTGTTGTCTTTTTCTCCTCTATGCTTGACAGCACCCCGTCTGCTAATGCCAGATGGAGATTTGCAATAGCATTTTCGTCCATCTCGTTCCACTTCTTATCATCTGTGATGTCGTCCGGCCTTGCACCGATGGCCGCCAGGCAATTATCTTTTCTCAAGATAGCTTTTATCTTCAACTTCCACAGTGAGAAATTACTCCCGTCGAATTTCTCGATCTTGAACTTCGCCGCCATTGCTTCTACCACGAACAGTAACTTCTTACTATTTCACGTAAATAGTACTGTATTTATGAACAGTAACCGTATCCGTGAATAGTACCGTACTTGTGAATAGTAACGTATTTGTGAATAGTACCGTCCTCGTGAATAGTACCCGTCACCTCCAAAGGGTAAGTGATAACCTAACTTATTTTCTGATGTGGAGGATCCACCTTTGGTGGCAGCCACAGAGCATACGATAAGTAGATATATACAAGTACCCTAAGTTGGCTCTGATACCACTTGTTGGGACAAACCCGGGGCCCAATAGAGCAGGATCGCAGCAATAGAAAAGTAAAAGTAGAGATAAAATGTTGGACACACAGATTTACGTGGTTCGGCTCTTGATTGCCTACGTCCACGGGCAAGGATAGAAGAATTCACTATGAGGAGAAAACTCTGGAGTTACAATCTCTCTTTCTAAGGAGATACTCTCTCTATTTTTTCTCTCACACACTTCTATATAAGAAGAAGTTTCTGGGATGAGATTTCCTTAAGGATTTGGAGCCCTATTTATAGTTTTTTGAAAAACACTATGCACAATAAAATATTAATATTTTACTGTAGCAGTGGGGCCCGCTCTTTTGTTTTCTTTCTCCTTTTCAACATTGGCTGTGCACTTTCGGTGGGTTTTGGAGTTGATAGGCGCCTGACACTCTCGTCGTCTTTATTGCGCAGACCACAATCTTTCCCGCTATCAACCTGGGATCCATCGTGTTTTTCTGGCAAAAACTGCGAAAGGATTCACGGCTCAAAATGCTAATAAATTCAGCTTCAGTTTTGCTGGCGGGAAATAAGCGGAAGGAACTGTAAGAATTTGAATGGAAATGAGTTTTAGTACCTGGCATTTTTGGCTGGAATACCTGGAGCTGCAGCAGCGCTTGCTGATATGATGGGATAATGGCCAGTCAATCCGGTAGGATTCAATGATGTTCCCTTTTAACATTTTAATAAGTTAATTAATTAACAAAAGAAAAAGCTCTAATTCAATTTTTTTTTAATTTTCAAATTAATTTACCCTTACCCTTAGAACTTTGGAGTTGCCCAAATGAACATACGAATTGAACTGACGATCAATAGAGCTCGCAGCAACCGTCATCATCCACGGCGCAATAATAGTCGTCGACGCTGGCAATCCTGTGTTTCCGGCAGAAACGGTCACCAGAATCTTCTTTCGGAAAGCGTGGAAAGACCCGATCGAGATGACATCCGAGAAAACACTAGGCTGCGGCGGAATGGGCGACACAGACATGGAGATTATTTCCACACCGTCGGCGACCGCGTCGTCGAAGGCTGCAAGGATATCGGCATCACTGCAGAGACCGAACCAGCACGCTTTGTACACGACCAGACGAGCTCCGAACGCGCCGCCTCGAGCAACGCCGGGTGCCATGCCGAGCATGCTCGTGCTGGGGACGATGGAGCCGGTGATGGTGGAGGCGCGTGTTGGGTCCCGTGGCCTCAGCATCGCCGAGGCGATCGGAAGAAGGGAGGCCAACGGATTCAAGGGGATGCCTTTCGAGTAGTAACGGGCGCCAATGATTTTCCTAACAAAGCCATCAACAGAGTGCAGTCATGCACAAACTAAGTGCGATGTTAATATGACGTACATTCAGACCGTCGTCAGTAATAAGTTGAATAAATTGACTTGGGATCTAAATATGTCATGTTAGCTACGCACCAGCCAACTTTAATGATCAAGTAGCCATCTAATTGTTATAAACAGAGGAGAAGTGATTCTGTGAATAACCCATAATAAGATTTAAATTAAATATATCATTTTGTTCACCTGTTGCAATTTGCTGCACTGAAATTTTGTCCAGAGACGCATTCTCCTTTGAACCGTTTGGGGACCGGGCCTAGGCCCGCATCATTGAAACTCTCTGACTCCGGCCAAATCCCTGAACATTACAAAATTAAGTTCATATCAATCCGCCGTTCGTTGAAATAAACAAGCAAAAGGGGATAAAGCAGGGTGACGTTTGAAACCTGAGTCAATGCAGCCAACAATGACATCTGATTGTAGATGCATCTCCTTCCCTAGATTATTACCAGCAGGCAGGTTGACACCCAAGAAGTCCCATGAATGTGTCGAATCGACTCGATTCCTCTTGCTCTCAAATACCGAAATGACTTCTTCGTCGTCTACAATCGCCCACAACTCAATCAGACTTGCAGGATTTTGGTTCACACGATATAGGAATATGTGATCTTATAGTCTGCTAGCTTCTACATCGATCTCTCGATCGGTATCAAGTTAATTTCATGTAATTTTTTTTCCTTCGTATTTTGCACTTTCAACCTCTTTGAGGAGCACGGAAGTGATAACTAATTACCTTGGAGTAGGCTCGCTTGTTCGGGAGTAAGCATTGCGGAAAAACCTCTAAAACTCTTGCTGTAATGGTAGGTCGCAGCTTGTTTTGCTTCATCCTCACTAAAACAATCAAATTGCATCCAATTTGTAAGCTAGTATGTATGTGTGTGTATTTTTTTTTTTTTTTTGTGGTGACAAGTGGGCCATAGGCCGGCCCTTTTTAGCTGCTGATTGCTAAAGTTGACGGATGGAATTCGAGGTGTCTCAAACTCAAGATCGGACTATGACCATTATTTGTCAAAAAAATTAAAAAAAAAAGTGGCTCCTTACTAAATATTCCTTAAAAAAACTAAATATTAGTACACTACAAAATAAAACTTTATTATTGATGAGAATTCAGGGTATTACGTCCCCATTACAGAAGCAAGCACTGCATGGTTGGCGGAGACGACGGAATCAGTGCTCGGATGAGAGTGCTCTCCCATGTACACAATGTAATGCTGCAAGAATTTAATTTAGACCTCATCATCAATAACGAAAGCATTATTTGAAAACCACACCCACTAATTAATTATACACTTGACACGTGCATCAGTGAAGTTGAAATGTAAAAAAACGTATATATACCTTTGTGTTGGAGGAGCCGTGGACAAAAATAAAGCAACTACTAGTTATTAATAAAAGAAGAGGAAGAATGTTGTGTTTCATCATCTCCTCAATCTTATTCTTGATGAGGCTATGATCAATTAAGTAAAAGAAAACAGAGGTTAATTAATGGCTACAATAACTTCCTCAATTTATAGTAATCATGCTGCAGGCCGGAGGCTTAGACCTAGCTAGCTTGTCAACTTTCTAACTAATTAAAGAGAAGAATTAGAGCCAAGCAACAAATTAAGCACCTATTTTTGTAATTTAGTAGGGGCGGCAAATTAACTTACTTAAGCTAATAATTAAGACGGCAACATTTCTGATCTATTTGTTGCTTCGTAGACTCCAAAATCAAAGTACACAAGATCGATCATATACAACTTGATAATTAATGTACTATATATGGCCCTATGCCTAAATCTAATCCGAGAAATTGTGTAGACGTTTTTCTCGCTTGAAAAATTGTCGTTGTTTTTTACTGGACGTAACTAGATGTTCAGAAATTTTATTAACTAGAGGAAATAGTATATGAAGATGGGGGGAGGAAACCATTTGTTCTTATAAAACAAGCTTTTTTCTTCATTTTCTATTTAATCAGTTTTTCCATGTGTATCCTCGCAAAACCTATGGTTTTCTTGAGATTTGATTTAATGCTAAACCTCAATCTTGAACTTCGCCTCTGCAAAATTAGGCACATTTTTTTATTATTTTAAACTACTCGTACTCGGAATGTAGAAAGTATTCAGTACTGTTTGTATGTGTAGACTGTCTAAAAATCACAATAGATAGCTGATCCCCATCAAACACCGATGATGTAAGTTACAATCTGACGACTTCTAAAATGTTACAATTTAAAGACTTTCACATAGATCGATGAAGGTTACAAACTGACGACCTTCGCAACAACTGATGAAAGCTCTAATCAACAGCCTTCACAATCAACATCGGGAGTTACAATCTGACAACTCTCATAGTTTCAAGGAGCCAAGAAGAAGATTACAAGATGATAGTCTTTGCAATGCTCTAGCAAAAGAGACTACAAATTGACGGTCTCTTCAAATCCAGACGCATAGCTCACCTATACGTCTCAGATTCAAAACACATAGCTCGTGGCTGTGTTCCCAGAACAAAACGCATAGGTCCTCCCTGCGTTGCCACACCAAAACGCGGAGGTCCTCCCCGTGTGTCAACATTAAAATGTTAGAGTCGGACCTGCGTTACAACATCAAAACGCCGGAGTCGAACCTGCGTTGCAACATCAAAACGCAGGGGTCAGACCCGCGTTTTTTACGTTTGACTGGTTCAAACAGAACCTGAACAGTTTTTAAACCTATCTCCACTTAATGGGGTCGGATATACCCCATTATGGAGAGATTTTAGGGGGGATTACACCCCTTAAACCTTTGAACAGTTTCAGAACTGTTTCCCATGATTTGAGGGCGGTTACACCCCACTTAGGAGCGAATTAAGGGGACGGTTACACCCCTTAATCCCCTATAAATATGGGTAAACTCAACTGAGTTCGGGCTAGATCCTTCGTTCTTCGGCTCAGGAGCAAAGAAGAGATTTTGGGTTCGAACAGAGGGGATTTGGCTCTCGGTTTGGGCTGGCATTTTGGATCTGAGACTTGGCAGCAAAGAAGATCTTTCATCTTTCGGCTGCAGCTTTGGAGATCGGCAACAGGAGCTTCTTCATCTTTGGCTTATAACCGACTTTCGGTTAAATCAACTCTTTCATAGAGTTTCAAACTCGTTCTGAGTTATCAACTCATTTTGAGTTTTAAACTTGCCACGTAAGTTCTCCATAGCGTCAAATCGTGAGGAAGAGATACTGTTCCAGTGAATCAAGACGTTCGGATCGTCAACGGAGAAGTCAACGGAGAACAAACTCGACGCGAGCATTCGAGGGAGGCACTCCATCGCTACCGTAAAGAACCCAGGATTAAACAAATGGAAGAATCCAGATCAATTCTCCTCTCTTTTGTAATCGGGAATTCAAATTGTAATTAAGATCGAGAGAATACAAATCAAATTTCTTTCATTTCACTTACTTCAAATTTTCCACCAAACAGTATGGCATCAATATGTCCATCTAGTGACTTCTGAATGACAATTGATCACTTGAACTGTTGATTGACCAAGTCTTGAAAGTCAATAATATGCAAAGTATACATTTTCACCACATAAGCAAGTTAATGTCAACCCAATCATAATAAAAATTCTATGAATTTTTTAAATTTTCACATTCTTGAAATCTATGACATAATCACACCGAACCATAATCGAAAAAAGATTAATCTTTTTTTTTTAAATTAGATCACACATGGAGCCTTAGGCCTTGTTTGGAAAAAATCCCTCAAAACCGAGAAATGATCAATCTTGACTTAGTTTTGAGGTAAACTAGTTCTTTTTTATTTTCCAATGGAGAGGTCTAGTTTAGATAGCGTTATGTGGAGAGACTCTATCCATATTTTTTCCCTTTGCTTTCTAAAGATGTAATATCCTTTGCGGGGTAGCCTAATGAAGAAGTTTTTTCCATTAAAAAAGACAAATTAAAAAGAAAAAAAAGAAGAATGAAGAACTACTTTGAGGCTCCATTTTTGGCTTAGAAAAAACTATGTCAAAGTTAGTCCAATATTTTCTAGTGAAAAACAAACACAAAAATGGGTTAGGTTCAATCTTGACCTAATTTTAAGGAATTGCCAAACACAACTTTCAGGCAGTTATGTTTAGCAATTCCTCAAAATGGAATCAACTTCGATCCTGTCCTATTTTGGGGGAAATTGTGCTTCGATAAAACTAGGCCAACATTGGTCCAGTTTTTCTGAGGTCACTTTTTGTCTTTAAATTGATTTTGTTTTGGACCACCTCTTTCCCGTATCAAAGCAGATTTGGTTGAATTTATACATACGCAAGAGAATGCCATATTTTTGCTAAGGGGTTGTTTTTTTACTTACATTTTCACAATTTTGCATTGAAAAAATGGGACCTATAAGACCAAAATCTTAAACTTTTACTAAATACATTATTTGGTTAGCATCTTTTTATTGTAAAATTGGAGTTGCCACATATGGTTAATGCGTCAATTCTAATTCCCTAAAATATGTTGATTGCACTCTTATTTTTTATTGATGCTTATCTAAAAGGGAAAAAGGAGGGATATTATATCTTATTATCTTCAAGAAATTCATATTCAACCAAACAAAATTTTTTGTTTGGATTTGTCATTCATCAAATCCTCTTCAATATATGCCAACAAACAAGATTATGAATGTGTATTTTTTCAGATTCGTAACATGCATCAAAATTAATCCGGCCACGAACAAAACAGCCCCTAACTGGTCCGAGTATATGCACACAAGAGTATGCGGTGGCGGATTTACCTTGGGGCCAACAGGGCCTTGGGCCCCACTTTTAATTTCGTCCTCATTACCCTCATGTAAGTGTGCAAGGAAATAAATTAGTACATAACTGTAAATATTAACACAATTCACAGTATATGGGTATTAAAGTATGTATTGTTGCATCGCTAATGTAAGCTAACATTAAAAACATCCAAGCTCGATTAATTATTGTAATATGGTACTTAACATGCGGTGTTAGTTATTTTCACATTTATATAAAGATGTCGATTTTATTTTAGATAAGAAATTTCAATGTGGTGTTAGTTATTTTGAGATGATACCAGCGTAAACTTAATTTAGATAAGTAGTTTGGGTTTCTCATCATGATTTTTTCTGAAATTTAAAGGATGTATTAACCTGATAAAAAGTTGATTGAATGGAAGATGGACGCTTTACATTCTTTGGTGTACAAATTGTGAAGTTAATATTAATCTCGTTACAACGGGGATTGTTGGAAGAGCATTTTGTAGCAGTAAATTCATTTCAAGAAGGGAAATTCCCTAAGGACCCAAACTCATGTGACAAGGGAGGGGACAGGGGAGGTGTCCCCTCCCCATTGCTCCATGCACTGTTCATGACCCGTCTCTGCCAAAAAACCCGTCTCTGCCGCTCCCCTGTCCCCTGTCCCATGAGTTCATGAACAGTGCATGGAGCAATGGGGAGAGGACATCTCCCCTGTCCCCTCCCTTGTCCCATGAGTTTGGGTCCCTGTAGTATTACTTTTTCAAGAATGACCTTAAAAACCGAACACAAAAAGAATGCTATGTAAACACTGCATCTAATTTGGAATTTGTATTTGAAACTTTTGTTATCTAATAACGTTTAGATACTAATTAATCGTGCAAAATATATATGCTATATTGTTTTCATTATTAAAATTTCTAGCCTCCGTTGCCAAAAAACCCGTCTCTGCCGCTGAGAGTATGCGTTGATTCTAAGGGAGGAGTGCAATATAGACTACACATCCTACCAGGGAATGAGCCAAACCTTCAGGGTGGAATTCCCATTTTACCCTTGTACATATTGCATGGCTCACTTGCGACCGCCGGTTCTGATGAGAATCGAGCTCCACTACATAACGAAGCATAAACCATTTTTTGGGTGATTTGAAAATCTCGTTATTTATTCGTGAAAATATTCTGAAAAGATGGGGACGAACAAATCCGAGAACTTGTTCAAATTCCCTCTCCTCGTGTATTTATAATTTGAGATGGTGGTAATTTAAGTACAGTTGCGTGAATTCGAGAAATCGTGACATGTACGGGTTAGAAGTCAACGTCTTAGTTAATGAAATTGACCGTACGGGTTAGAAGTCGCCATTTTTGAAATGGAGAGGATCCATACCAGCTGACATATGACTTACGGCTCCTTTTTATTTTAATTTACCTTTTCAAACTTCTCGTTTCTTTGTTCGGAAAATTGTGTCAATGCCTCAATTTCTAAGAACCTCATATGATTAACCCCTTCAACCTTTTTTGCATCTAGTTTAACTCCCAAATTACAGATCTATGCGATTTAGCTTTTTTAGTAATTATTCCATGCCAACTAAACATAGAGAAAGAATTTTTTTTAAAGAAAATCCCAAAATGACATTATTTCCTCTATTCTTTCCTCTCTAAATCTAATGATCATCGCTCCTCCTTCCTCCTCTCTCCTAACTCATTTCCTTCCTCCTCTCTCCCTCTTCCTCCTTTTTCTCTCAGACACCCCGATACCCCCCTCCGCCACCATCGAGCTTAGGTGCACGCTTCGGCAATATTATTGATTTGAGGGTATATTATTTAGAAAAACTCAATATTATTCATTTTTTCCCCACTCTCACTTTCTTCCCCCCAAAATCAAAACAAGCCCAAATTTGGCCGGCAATTGCAATGGCAATGCGAAACTCTCAAATTCCTCGAAGTTCTGGTCAGAGGATTCGTCAAACAACAGATCGGTCTCCGACACTAAAGGCGAAGAGGTGGTAAAGTACGAGGCGGAGGAGACGATGCTGGAGGAGGACACCGAAGAGCTCGTATGTTAAGTCTAATGAAATTTATAACTTCTGTTTGAACACTAATGAAAGGTAAAATTTTAAAGAAATATCGGCTAAATATGATTTTTTTGACAATTTTTTATGTTAAATTCAAGTCCAAGATGGAATATTAAGTCTAATGAGTTGGAAATAAAGTCCAATGACTTGAATGTTAAGTCTATTGGGTTGAATAATAAGTCCAAGGGTTTGTATGTTAAGTCTATTGAGTTGAATAATAAGTCAAATGACTTGTATGTTTAGTCTATTGGGTTGAATAATAAGTCTAATTTGTTGAATGTTAAGTGTAATGGATTATATGTTAAGTCTAATTTACTCAATGTAAGTATAATTTGTCATATATTAAGTCTAGTGCGTTGTATGTTAAGTCTAATTGGTGTGATGTTAATTCTAATTTGTTGAATGTTAAGTATATAAAGTTTCATATTACGTCCAATTTATTTCATGTTAAGTCTAGTTCAGTTCATGTTAAGTCTAATTTAAATCTTGTTAAGTCCAATTTAATTCTTGTTAAGTCTAATTTAATTCGTGTTATGGCTAATTTAACTTTTTTTAAGTTTCATGTTAAGTCCAATATAATTTATACTAAGTCTAATTTCGGTTCATGTTAAGTCTAATTTAATTCCTGTTATGGTGTTTTCAATCACCAAGTGCAACCCTTTACTAGTAACGGATGGGTGTACCTCTGCATGCAATGCCCCAATCAAATTGGCAGCCCAAGACCAACAAGGGCTCCAACTTAGCCAACTCGTCGAGTCGACATTCCTCCATGTCGACTCGAAAGGCGGTACTAGTCGACCCTCTTGTCGAAAACGACTCGCAATGATCCCACTTGACCAGCTATTTGACGCCTCACGAGGACGACTCGAAAGACGTTACTTTTTAGCGAAGCCAAAAGACGACTTTAGTCTCGAGTCTCTCACACTGACAACGTGTCAGCATCACATTTAATGCATGGCAGGCACATCATGCCTCTAGCCCCGATAGACTTCATGACTCATCGGACCACGTCGGTACCGACATGCCTCCGATCACTTCCCATTTAATGCTGAGATGATCTCTTTTCCAGTCGTCAGCCGGCACCTGTAAAGCAGGAGCAATGACTTGTATGTTAAAAATTGAATTTAACATAAAAGTTTGTTAAAAAATTATATTTAGCCGGTATTTCTTTAAATTTTTATCTTTTCACGATGTTCAAACAGAGATTACAAATTACATTAGACTTAACATACGAGCTCTTAGTTGTCCTCCTCCAGCACCGTCTCCTCCGCCTCGTACTTCGCCACCTCTTCGTCTTTAGTGTTGGAGAGCGATCTATTATTTGACGGATCCTCCGACGAGAACTTTGACGAACTTGAGGGTTTCGCCATTGTCATTGCCATTGTCGGCCAAATTTGGACTTGTTTTGGTTTTTTTTTTTTTTTTATGAAAACAAAGTAAATATTATTGAGTTTTTTTAAAGTAATATACCTCATATCAACAATATGGTCGGAGCATGCACCTAAGTTCGGTGGTGGCAGAGGGGGATATCAGTGTGTCAGAGAAAAAAAGGAGGAAGAGAGAGGAGGAAGAAGATGAGTTAAGAGAGAGCGGGAAGGAGATGAGCAATGATTATTAGATTTAGAGAAAAAATAATAAAAGTAATAAGGATATTTTAGGATTTTTTTTTATTTTTTTCCCCCTCTATGTGTGTTTAGTTGATAAGAAATAATTGTTAAAAAAAAACTAAATCACATAGATCTATAATTTGGGAGGTAAACCCCACGAAAAAAAGGTCGAATGAATTGAACGCATAAGGTTCTAGAAATTGGGCCTTGACACAAGTTTCCATTCTTTGTTTGTGCTTTCAAGACTGAGGACCTGCGCTTCTGAATGACGTGGAATTAAGTCCCCGTTACCATCTAATTTGTAATCTATAATCTAACCTCATCCCTATCTCTTGCAAATGATATACTCACACCCTCATTTGTAATCTATAATCTAACCTCTCATCCCTTCACTATCCAAATCAATATTAATTAACAATCTACGTTGCTTGAATAAGAATATTCTAATTGCTTTTGAAAAATATATATTTATATTTCTGAGGGAAAAATTGTTCGTTTCAGAAGAAAATGGTTGCACAATGCACAAGGCTCACGACGTTGTAGGCTCTAGGGAGCAAAGGTTGGTTTTGAGATTCAGATCATTGTAATCTTATCGTTGTGCCAATCCACATTTATTTGACCATAATAATTAATTGTGATTTCATCCCTAAAATGTGTTAGAATATTGAGAGATAAACTTGGAAGTATATAGGATTATAAAGGGAAACAAAATGACAATTAGGACGTACGTCTTAAAAGGCATTTTCTAGTGCCTAAGATTTTATATAAAGAGTCAAATTTGTAAGCTTAGCAAGCTGTCTGATGCGCTGGGACTCAAATAAGAAACTATTTAGTTATGATTATAGAAACTTGCTTCTCCTTCTTCTCCTTTTGTCGTCTTGACATTTTTATGTTACTAACGTTATAATCATATATCAATTACAATATTTATATTTTACTCAAACGATCACAACTGTTGGGTAGATAGTAGAAGAGAGAACAAAACAGTGATATCGTGTTTGTCAATAGAACAATTTAGGATAACGGGGCAAGTTGGAGCTAAGTGGGATAATTGTTTCAATAGTTAACAATTTTATCCCTTCGAGATATTTTGAGTGATGTAAAGTGGGACAATTTAGGATAATGAGACAATTTAAAGCTTTAATTTGACAATTCATGTTGGATAATTGATGACGTGGTACCTTTTTAAGTACAATATTTATCAATCAATTAAGTCTAAATTAATTTACCTAATTGGTTTAGCATATTATTTGGTATGTTATTATAATGTAATACATTATTTTACTTTATACTAAACTATAATATATTATATTATAATTAATAATTTATTATAACTATATTTAATGTTATTAATATAATATAATATAATATTATGATATATTATATAATAATTGATATAATATACAAACAATATACTTAATATAATAT